CCCCCGCCCTAGCATTAATGTGGCTTCTTTTTTTTTTTTGCAGGCAAGAAAAGCCTTGAGAGCATTGAAAGGGCTAGTGAGGCTCCAAGCAATCATTCGGGGACGAGCTGTTCGGCGCCAAACTATTGACACCCTCAAACGCTTGCAGTCAATAGTAAGCATTCAATCAGAACTCCATGCGCAAAGCTGCAACTTAGTGAAGAACACAGCAGACTTACAAGAAAAGCAATACCAGGATATAAAGGTGAGAAAACTACAACACACCTGGCTCAACAGTACAAGGAAAACATACCATCTTGACCTTGGCATAGTGGCAAAACCCACTAGAAAACAGCTTCTGTTTCATCTAGGGCTTGTTTGGTTAGGGGATTTGAGGGTAGGGGAGGATTGATTAATGTTTTACTCATATATCTCCATTTGTTAGCTTCAACAAAACAACTACATGTTTAGTTGAAAACATGCATTTCTACAACAACATTCAAGTACCCAGTAAAAACCCACAAAAAAGTAAGGTCTAGGAGGCTAAAACATGTATTTCTATATACTCCTGTAATTTTTTATAGTTTAATTTCTTTCCCGCCATTGAAACGTAACCCAAAAAGGGATTAGTGACTGTTTCATCAATGCTCTTTATGTGTGCAGATAGATATGAACAGCCACAGAGGATGGGACAATAGAATTCTCTCAAAGGAAGAAGCAAATGCTATGTTCTTAAGCAAGATGGATGCTGCCATTAAGAGAGAACGTATAAGGGAATACTGGTTAACTCATAGAGTAAGTAAACTTAGAAAATTAATCTCTGCAAACTCTTATGACCACCGAAAAATCCCACTATACATGACGAATTAATATATATAAACATTTTCCAGAGATCATCAGAGGGAGAATGGAGACCACAGATAAAGCAGAGATATTGGTTAGAGCAATGGGTAGATGCTCAGCTAGCCAAAAGAGAAGATCTTGTGAACCTAGATACAGATATATGTGCAGGTGCAAGAATGAGAAACGAGTTTGAGCAAAGGGAATCAAAGACGATATCTCTGAGACAATACAGAAGCGAAGGAACACCAAGAAGATCATTTCAGCATAAGAGGCAACATTCTATAGGGGATGACAGCCCGAGGGTGTCTCGGTCTGTGCCAACTTACATGGCAGCCACAGAATCAGCAAAAGCAAAAGCAAGATCTTTGAGCTCACCAAGGATGAGGCCGATGAAGTTTGATGCCTATTCTGACATTAATTCCCCATACAAGTACAAGCTCTCTCCTATATCATCTATTAACAGCGAGATGACCGTAAAGAGCAAGGTTCTGAATCCTTCAAGTTTGTCACAAAGATCGCCTTGCTTGAAGAGCATAGCTGCTCCTGTAAGATCAAGCAGAAGTCTAAAGAATGTTAGGCTGGAGTCAGATTTCTGACTTTAGACAACAACATTTGTAACATCTGGGTGCCTTCTTACATGCATATTTCAGTTCATAATAAAATCAGTGCTGAAATTTTTCTTCTAATAACATGAAAGAACACTTGAGTGCCAAACAGGGGACTGGAAAAACATACAAAACATTGTAATTGGTAAATTACATAACCAGGACTCAGATCCCAAATTAGGAACCCCCATTATTAATTTTTATTTTATTTTTGGATACAACAATTATCATTTGAACTTTATAATAATTCTACGGGTATTAAAGAAAAACAATTCATTGAATTCAACAGGGTTGAGAGAAAAAAGGAACTAAACAAAATATTTAAGAGGTTCAAAATGGGGAGAAGGAAAATAGTAGAGTTATCACTGGACTTATAAATTAAAAACTGGTTATAAACAATTTTGACCAGCTTATAAGCACAGAAAAACACTCACTTCATCACATCTCCAACTTCATTTTCTTCTTATTTTCTAACTTTAACAAGCATCCAAGACTAGACATAAGATTCATGCATATATAGTAATACACATGTTGATTACCATAAATGACCAAGACATCTAACCAACTTGTGAGAATCATCTAACAAGTTCACCTTTATCATTTTCAAAAACCACTTGTATAGTTATACTTTCTCATGCATAACTACACTAAGCATACCAACATTAGAACAACTCTTAATTAATTACACACAACTTCATGCACATATACTAATTAGCATAAGAGACTTTTTTTAAATTTATATGGATTGATCTCATCACACCGGTAACACTTTTCATTACCAAAAGGTTAATCTCTAACCCACTAAAGAATCACAAAGAAGCAGTTCAGAAAATTACTTCTCTTTAAAAGAGAAAGACCTTATACAATGAAAAGCAAATGATCAGAAAAAATCATTTTTAATAATCAAACGGATCTTAAGTAGCCAAGAAAGATACTCGCTTACATATATCTGAACCAAACTGTATAAAAACATACAAGATTACAAAATTCAGTTGTCTTGTTTCAAAAATAAGCAACTGAATAAAGAACACTGAGGGTACATTTATACACTAGTTCTGGATGCTGTATAACAGATGACCTCAAAACATTCCATTGTCCGATAATGCAATTAATTTGCATCCACGATCTCCCTGGGGGGCATAACTTGACTGGCAAAAGACGTGGGAGTAAAAATAACACAGCAGAGTGACATCTGAGTGGGATCAAATCCATTTAGAGAACATCCTCTATGGAAGTGAATGGAACAAAGACCCCCGTCAGTCAAGACATATTTGGTGATTGGCATTCGACATTAAGGATATAGGACTCCATCTGCTATACTCTATGTAATAGCACTGATAGAGTCATTTTCACCTGTGAAAGATTCCATCTTTTATCCATGAAACGTGAATCATTTATACTCTTTTGAGTTCTCCATTTTCCTCCAATGGTAAGATGCTCCCTCTTCATCTCCTTGGAACCTTGAACTTTTGAACCATGAAGTATGGTATGAAGAGTATTCCCTCTTCTTCGAACCACCATAGAAAGACTCCCTCCCAGCACTGGATCTCTCAGACTCAAAATATGGGGGCTGGTGACTCTGACTACCGGCAGTTGTCCAATTCCTACAACTGTTTTCCCATTGCCACGATCCTTCTTTTTTTGGAGCTCCACCTCCTCGAGCTGTGTTATTTCCCCAAGCATCACAATAATTACCCGTGTTCCACACTTTGTGGTCCATATCACTTCGAACATTCTGCATTTGGGAACCATTGTGGTTCCTAACATTCCAAGCACTTTGACCCCATGAGGTATTCTTGTTATCACCCCAATCTTTTTGCCTTGTGCACCAGGCACTCCCACTTTCATTATTCCAAGAACTGCTCCAAGCATTATCGAGTCCACTTGACGGGTTCTGACCCCACGAGTCATTTACGCCACTTATTAATCCAGGGCTCTTGGAAGACCCTCTAGTTCTTGCGTGATTCTCCTCCCACGGATTAACACTTTCCAATTTTTTGGAGCGATCGGAATCAGTCTCGCCGTCCTTAGGATTTTTATTATCTGGTGATGTTGTCCACTCAGAAATATCATCTAAGTTGTTGACCTCTGCTTCATCGGAATTGAAAATTTTCCGCTCTAAATCCAATATCAATTCTGGATCAATATATACATTCCAATCAACTTCAGCAACATACTCACAGGGGTCAGGCAAGGGGTTATCACAGGGAAGGCCATTAATCTTAGCCCAATATCTTGTTTTTGCCTCACCAAAAGTTAATTGACTAGCAGAATCATTCCACTTAAGCACATTATCAAAACAGCAAATGTACTTCTTCATATTGACAACCTTATGCCAAGGCATTCCCACAGATTTGCAGAACTCTATCTCCCATGAAGGCACACTATTCTCCGGAATATCTACAGAGATCAGAAAGAAAATTCATTTAGAGGTCATACTTACACATATTTACAATATAATTACACATTTCATTTTTGAAATGATCAAGAGTCAAATAGTAAATGCAAAAATATGGATCTTATTCACAACTGGTGCAAAACTGCAAAATCACCATAGGCAACACTAATGATTAATAAAAAGTTCCCATATCAGACCATCACTAAGGCGTGCAAATGTCAAGGCAGAGAACCTTGTACATATACGGAGTACTAATTTATCTGTTTTATACACAAAACTGCAACCCTTTCTAACTACGTAGGTAATATATCTTTTTACCACATAGCTAGAGATATACAAATCACAATCCCAGAATTGAATCGTTAACTACTTCAGAAAATCCAATTATCAAATGTGCAGAAGAGACTTGGTAAAATAATCAACTGTAAACAATCATGCAAAAACACCCATCCTCGCACTCCTTTTCCATTAGGTCCTCTCTTCAACCACTTCGGAATTTCTATTCACATTTACTTCTTTTCAATTCAATACCAATCCTCCATTACTTCAAAGTTAATCTCTTAAAGTTCTAATGCTCTGTTACTCTGTTAGGTTTGAGGAATTCAGAAGGGAAAAGAAATGAAAATGGTAAAGAAAGATTTTTTTGGTGTTTGGTTAGAAAGGAAAGAAAAGAAAATGTATGGAAAACTTAAAGTAAAAAATGGAAATATGTTTTTCCTTTCATTTTTGTGAGGAAATTAGAGAACACCAAATTCCTCCCTTCCATGGCCCCTCTCCACCGCCCTTTCTCCCCTCCCTTGTCCCCCACCCCACCCTTCTCTTTCAACAATGTCATCTTTAGAGTTATTGCAAAATAATTTATTCACTGATATCCCAATTCACCAAACAAGTTCGAGATTTTTGGTTCCCTCGACTTTCATTCCTTTTCCTTAACATTTTTCTAATATCCCTAATTCTCCAAACCAAACATAGTGTAAACGTTTGGGAAGAAGAAAAATACCCCATATCCAGAGCTTCTATCACAGACACTAAATACAATTCACACAACCATATAAGCAAAAAAATGAATAAATAAATTCTTTGATCCGCAGTAATTTGCCAACAATCCACGTGTATATCCCCAGCAAGCGCTGATTTAACAGAAATCATCAACAAATCAAATACTGAAAATTAAAGACCCACAACAGTTAAATTTCGAAAACAAGATCTTGAAGAGTCAGAGAGAATAGAAGATACCGGAATGAGTCTCATCGTCAGCAGGAGGGAAATTCTGATACTGATTGAAATTTCGTCTGGGAATGTATCTCCGATTCCATTTTCCCATCTGGAGTTGTTAGACTGTAGAGCTAAAAGGCGCTTGAAGCGAGCGAGGGGTTCCAAGATCTGCGATCTTCAAGCTTTGACAGTTCTGAGCAGATGAAGAATTAGCGAAAGCCTGTAACGGCGCAAGAGAATCTGCAGTTGGGGATTTCGATTTTCGAGAAGTATTTATAAGAAAGAAGATGATGAGCCGGTAGTTCATCAGCACGTTATTAGGATTTTTAATGCCACTGTACCGTCTGTACGCATATGATTTTTAAACACACTATTTTTCCCTTTTTCAATGTCATACAAAATGTATGGGTACATTTTTTAATGTTGTGTTGTACTATGGTATCTCCATTTCAATTTAAATTATTTCTTTTAGTTTAGAATATTTGATTAAAATTATTTTTAATTTATTTTGGTCTCAAAATGTCCATTAGGGTAATGATGTTGATGATAATGTGAAAGTTGATACGGATATGGATGAGGAAGATTGGATAAATCAGAATGCATTCTTTATTTCTCTCTCTAACTCTTACATTTATTGTACTCTTTTCGAGGTCATTCTTATTTCAATCCTATCCCCTTGAGTTTTGATTTAATTCCTTGATACGTTGGTTTGCTCATTCAGCCTTTTTGCTCATGACAAAAGAGGGGAGAGTATGGTAGCATTGTTTGTGCTTGTAGAAGTGCTTGCATACTCTAAACTCTTTACAAATTTTATGTTAGCTATTTTCTGATATCTTGTATAGTTGTATGTTGTGTTGTGACATATGTTTTTCAATCGGGTTTGTCAAAGATCTGGCAAAACTGACCTAGACTCGATAATCCGAACTGAATAATCCGGAACCGAATCTGAATTGACCCGAAAACTAAATAACCAAAATAGAACCGAACATCCAAAATAATCCAAACCGAACCGAAACCGAACCGAATGTATTCGGATCCGATTCAAAACCAAATTCTATTTGACACGAACCGGTTAAACCCAAAACCGATTAAACCCGAAACTAATTAGACCCGAAATTGATCAAATTCATTAATATATCATTTATCAAATGAACTTGAAGAAAAAGAATTATCGATATATTTTTACATATGTTGATGTGTTTCTAAAAAACATATTTAAATTATGGGTGCAAACCGTGCAATTACTTTCATGTACAAATCTTTTACTCCGTATTTTATAACTTAAGTTAAAGTACTTTTGTATTTTATCGTCTTCGAACGTTAAGTTTGACCAACATCGTCTCTTCAAAAATACTAGCAAAAAATATTAAAAATAATGCATTTAAAGTGTTTTTGATACCAACAACTTGGTAACTTTTACTCTTTATATATTAATTCATTATATATTTTTATATTTTTATTTTTATATATAGTTATTCAAATATTTGACACAAAGTGAAATGGATAGTTAAATAGAAATAGAGGAAGTACGAAGTAGAATGTTAACTAAAAAGGTCGCGCTAAAAACTTTAGGAGGAAAAACTTTAGAATGTAAACAGTTAGTCATTTATGTAAGTGTTATTTTTTATGTACGTCCATGTTAAATAATAAAATAACTACAGCGTATGTCATAAATTGACTAAATTTATTATCCGGTATTATTGATTTATTAGCATATATATAAAATATACCTGAACTAATATAAACCTAAACCGATACAAACCTGAATCGATATAAAGTCGAATCGATACAAACCCAAATTGATACAAACCTGAACCGATATAAACCTGGTATGATATAAACCTGATCCGATACAAACCCTTACGGAAACCAAAAACTAGTCAAACTAAAATTAACCCCGAACCAAACTGACCCGAACCGAACTGACCAAACCGATTATAACATATATCCGAAAGAGACCCGAACCGAAAAGATCTGAACCGGGACCGAACCAATTGACCTGATTGTCAGGTCCAGTTTGTAATTATCAGAAAAGGAGAATTGCAGACCCTTGTGTTTTGATAATGAAAAACATGATGTGAATTATCAATTTGAGGACAGTTTGAGGATTGCTTAACGAAATTGCTTTGGGCGTCAAGTCTAGCTTGAAGATGTAGAAGGTTTTCTAGGTCTTTTCTGTTTTTTTCCCTTGCATTAGTAAATTTGTTAAAGTGTGGCATATAGTTACTTTTCCTAGTCTTAAATTGGTTTTAAAAATCTTTTCTAAATGTTTTTGAGTTGGCTTCAAAATAGTCTTGTCATTTTTGGAGTTTTTCTGGATCATTTATTCGAATAATTTGACTTTAATTCAAATAATAGTGTATGTCCAGAGCTATATCTTCCCGCAAATTTAGTAGCATAAAACTGTTTTAGTTGACTAAATTCTTGATTTTACTACTAGTCGATTCGAATAAATTAGGATTTAATCGAGTAAATCCTGGCTTCTATTGCATCGAGTTTAGCCTGATTTAGTCGAATAAATCTTCATTTAATCAACAAAATTGGCAATTTTAACTGTTCAACTATCAATTTTTTCAAATCTTTTATAAGTTACATCATTTCTATCCTATATAACTTCTCCCATCTCGATTTCCTCTTATCAATTAACTCCAAGAACATTCATTCAAATCATCCTTTGAACATTCAAAGAGATTCATTAAACTCTATAATCCTCCTACTCAATTTCCCAAGCTTTTCTTTCATAAATCTCTTGCGCTTGAGTCTTGGAGAGTTTGTGTTGTTACACTCTAAGCTTCTTGTATTCTAGAGCAAATTCACTCTTGCTTGAAGAGTAGTTTCGTTATGCACTTTGTTTGTAAGTTTTGCATTGTAAAAACTTGAATTTGAAATAAATCAAGTTTGGATTGAAATCCTAAATCTTGTAAAATCAAGACTTTGGTGAAAAGCTTAGAGGCTTGTGAAATCAAGTTTTCGAGCTGTGATCGAGTTTTCAAACTCCGTTAAGTTTGACGAAGTTAGTATAATCCCGCACACGTTTGCTTCAGGAACTGGACGTAGGCATTAGGCCAAACAAGTATATATCGTCGTCTCACTCTTCACTTAATTTTTCTTTCACATTCTTTGGTTAGAGTACTCATGCAATTTAATTATTTCTTTAGCTTGGCAAAAGTCTTACACTTTTAAAGAACACCTCTATTCACCCCCTTCTCCCCCCTTCCCCTCCTTCTAGAGGTGTGCAAAGAGTCTAACAATTAGTATTGGAGCATAGTTGTTTTCCAAAGCTTTACCACTGGAAACAAGATCATTGGCGAAAGGTCATTCCAAGTCAGAGTGTCCGAGGGACAATCCACCACTCGTCATCCACTCTTTGATGTTACCTATGAAGGTACATCTCAAGTAAAAGATGCTAATGATCTTTTATTACATAAATATGAATTATTCTCAATAAAGGAGAATGAAAGTATTGATAGTTACTTTAAGAGATTCTCTACAATTACCAACAATCTCGACACACTCAGAATACATTACACCGATCAGGAGCTTGTTCGGAAAGTTCTTGAGTGGAAATTCGAGGTGCATGCAACAAGTGAAGGAAGATACTACAATAGCTGACTTATGATACTCTTTTTTTGAGAAGTTGCTCACATATGAAACTACTACTTCACATCTTCGTGGAGAGGACAAGCGACAAAAGTCTATAGCATTGAAAGCCACCAAGAAAGCAGCAGAGGACCATAACGTTGTTGATGAATCAAGTGACTTGGAAGATAATCCCAAGCTTGCTCTTGCCATCAAACACTTCAACAAATTTATCAATGATGATAAGCATAATTTATTTATGTTGTGCTCTACATTTGAAACTAAGTCTTGTGAAATCAAGATTTCGGTAGAATGATTAAAGACTTATGAAATCAAGTTCTCAAGTTGTAACCGAATTGTCAATCTCCGTTAAGTTTGACGAAGTTAGTGGAATCTTGAGTACGTTTGTTTCAAGGACTAAACATAAGCATTAGACCAAACCAATATATATCATCATCTTGCTCATCGCTTAATTTTTCTTTCGTTGTATTTGATTGGATTGCTATTGCGATTTTTTTAGCTTGGCAAAAATCTTACAATTTTAAAGATCACCTCTATTTACCCCTCTAGAGGTCTCCAAAGATGCAATTTCAACCTCTAACTTGATCTAACACGAAGATAATTTTACAACAATAGCCTCTACCTCTCTAACTTCGAAACTACAGCATTGAACATTCCTCACGGCAATGAATTACACAACACCCATTTTGTATATATAATTGTGTTTATTACGCATATTTAGAAGTTAGAACATGGACATTATAACCATTTGCACAATGTTTACTTCACGGCAAAGGAAAATGTTCATCTTGTTCATGTCATACACTCATACTTAGAATTTAGTGGTCCATTTCTTTAAAAAAGACTACCCAGGGGTATTTTAATTTAAAAAAAATCTCGAACAAGTCCTTTAAACTAATTTGTCAATAATTCATGTCAACAATTCTCACCTACAATATATATATATATATATATATATATATATATATATATATATATAAAGACAATTCAGAATGAGCAATAATACAAAATCTATCACAAAAAAGGTTACTTTCAGAATGACCAATAATATAATACCTTCACTGGTTAATTGGTTTTTTCCTCCTGTACATCAGATGAACATTTACATCTCCGCTTGGGTAATGATCGGGAACAGAGTTCTGTATAGACGAAGCAAAACACAGAACGAAACACACCCGTTATGTTTCTCGGTCGTTCATGTCCTGCTTGCATCACTTTCTTGTTTCCCCGGGGGAGACCGTGGTGGCACAGCTGGCGGCTGAGCCACCAAAGGAGCCTCCGTCGCGGCCATCTGTAGTGTTTTCCTAGCCGTCACCACCTGAGATGCTTGGTGGTTCCGGCCAATCTTTCTTGATGGAAGTGATTGAGAGGCAACCGCTCTTTCCGAGTAATTACCCACCCTCTTGACTGATGCTAAAAACGTGTCCCTGGCGAGACTTTTCTGGGCAGACGTGATGATGGATCCGAACACCTCGGACTCTTTCAGCCCTTGGATGATCACCTGAATATAATGAATATAGAAAATAACTTATTACTCTCGCCATCCAAACTTAAGGTCATGTTCTCTTCAACTTATTTATATTACTCCATACTTGTTATTAATTCTTATTGGAATTAGATCATATCAGAAAGATTCAGATCCGATCGGACTAGATCAGGTTAGAAACATATACTCCCTCCTCCAAATACACTTCCTATTCAGTTTTCCAATTTCCCAACATCCCAAAATAAACTTCTAACTTTTACTTTTTACTCTCTTTTCCAAAAACACTTCACACTTTTTACAACACTTTTTACATTCCCAATATCTTAGTTCATATTTCTCAAAATACTTTTTACATCTTAAAAACAAGAAAAGTCAAATGCAGAGAACATGCCTTAAGAAATTCACATAAGAACCAATCAGATCAGACGAAGAGAAAATGCCCTTAGTTTTCCACTTTATGAAAAATCACATTTTTAAGTAAAACAAGTTTAAAATGTCAAATATGTCCTCCAAATGAGTTTGCCACTTGTTCATCACAACAATGCTCATACTTTATGTGTGAATTTTTTTTAGACAATTCATCATAATTTCTTCATTGAATATGAAACATTTGAAAAGGGAACTAATTCCAGACAAACGAAAACAAAGAAGTGGACAACTAAATCTAGACGAAGAGAGCATTTATTATGGATCAAATAAACTTATTTGTTTACTCGTATTATATGAGCAGTTAAAGCACGCATTTACAGCCTGAAAATAGTATTCCATTCAGGCTGCACAACATATTCAATTGCATAGGGTGAAGCCAGCCCAGTCCCTTCTAGTGTTTCAAACACATAAAAAGAGTACAGTATTGCGTAGCTGATTCAAACTTTAAAAAAAAGGAGCAATGTGAGGTAAATATTGCTATTTAGCTGAAATGGATGAATAGACTAAATCTGATCAATTTGCTCAATATTAGGTAAATAATCTGATCAATTTGCTCAAATAAAAAGTGTATTTTAAAATTTGGAAAATAAAATAATACCCGTAGTACGAAGTATGGAGTGTGTAAACCAGGAGGGTAAAGAATCAGTTGACTGTATTTCAGAAAAAATAAAATCTTCCTTCTTTTAACCGTAAGGTCTAGGTAATGAAAACTAAAGCTACCAAACTCATTCAAACAAGAAATGTTCAAACAGTGGACTCACTCTTTGGGGATGTCAAATTGGGCTTAAGACAATGCCAAATAAAATTGACTTGCTTTAAAGTATGCTCAAAACTAACCCAAAAGTGGTACTATTATTATTTTTCCCATGTGATAGATGCACATTAGTTAGGTGAAAATAGACCCCTATCCCAGAAAAAAAGTTTCTAATTTCCAAATCATTCAGCATAAAATAGAGTTACAATTTCTTTTGAGGAAAAACATTGTGTGATTCATTTTATTTCTATCTCTCTCTCTCTCACAACTAGACAACTTCTAGTTTCTTAATAACCATTTGTCCATTTCTAGTCAAACATGAAACCTTTTTTATGGGAAGAAGGGCACATATATAAATCGACCTTGTGATTTGCACCCTAAACCTAGGAACCTAAACCTGTTCCATGTTCCATAGATGACTTTCTCAAATTCAAAACATTTCTCCTTATATCTAAATAATATAATACCAAAAGCTCAGGTTGTTCATGCATCCTAAAGATTGGGAACACAAATTTATTTAGGTGGTTGAAGAAGCTTACCATTGGAGCATAAATACGAGTCAAAATGCCCTTTCTCAACAGTTTCATGTTAAGTGTTTTATCAGTCCACACAACATGTTCACGGTACCTGGAAAAAAAATGGTTATTGCATGAGTGAAGGATTTGTGTGTTGACAAAACTCACAAAATGGCCGCATAGAAAACCCCATGGTTGGAACACCAGACGAGTTATGATAATGCTAAGATAAATGAATGGGCTTCCATAAATTACTTAGTATATTTAGTATTTACCAGTTCAGCATCTCCTCCTCTGTCGCAGTTGAAGCAATAATAAAAGCCTGCATCACATTACAAAAAAGAGTTTTAAATTCATAAAGGAAAAGACATCAAGATAAAATTTCTATAAAATTACGAAAAAACAGGATAGCTTTTTATATTTTAAAAAACATCACTTACATTTTAACAAGACAGTTAAATGGTTAATGACTTGGATCAGCGGTCATTAACTATATTACATTGAAAAAATATCACAAGTAATCATCTTATGGAGTAAAATGTATCTTAATTTGTTCAGGTACAACACATCTCGACACAAGCATAAAAGAGTATATAAATACAAAGTTAACTATTCACCTTTATTATAAGTTTGTAACAGTTCTAAGTCAAGAACCCCCTTGAAAAGAATGCTATTTTATTTTCAAAAAAATCCCCAAAAGAGAAAAGAAATGCAAGGAGAAACTCACAGATCTATCAAATTCCAACATGAAGCACCGTTTAACATCTTCCTTTGTAGGTTTGCAACCACACCGATCTCGTCTGGAGGTTAAATCTGAGAACTTTGAATATGTGTAATGAAGAACAGCTGCCTCTTCCAATTTGATCTCACTACCACACGAAACACGTAGTTAATACCAAAAAACTCAAAACTAGATGACCATATATTGAGAGCAAATCTGAAATCATCTTCAAATGGTATAATGGAACTACATACTTTGGAGTTTTCATGTAATTGTGCCACCTGTGGGCTCCATTGGGACGAAGATGCTCTTGTATACGAGCAGCAGATTTCCCATTCCCATAAGTTAAAAAGTAATTTGGATTGCCACGAGTTGCTTCTTTGTACATCCCAAAATATGTATCCTTCGGTAGATGGTCATAATTCTTCTTGAACATTGAAACCTATAACATAAATAATAACACCGAAAAATCTTTTTTATCAACAAACAGTTGCAGTTGAATTGAGGGATAAACTAATGGTAGACTTTACTCTATACTGCACATACATGATTTTTTTTACTACTACTACCCGCTACAACCCAAGAACCAAGGCGCGTTAACCACTAAGTCTAAAGCCCGCTTAAACCCTTCAAACTAAAGCCCAAAGTCCCAAACCATCTTGTATTCTTTTTTACTAAAAATCCCTTATATTCCCTCCCCTTGCTTCTATGGGGGCTTGAACCTGGGTAAGCTTACTTCCCGGCATTGGTACTCCTTCCACATGCATGAAGCCATGAAGGTAATATTTCAATAACTTGTTTATCTTGTCATATCAGATAGCAGTATTCCTTTGATGAATTAAAAAACTATAGTGAGATATAAGGTGCATGCATCAAGCCAACGATGAATGTGAAGTCCAGATTACCTCTGTAAAAGGATCCTTAATATCGTCTCGTTCCACACTACTTTCCTGTATAAAGAAATGCGATAGAAATTAGAAAAAGCAGATTAAAACCTTTGATTGATTCATGATAGTGTACCTTTTAAGCATGAACAGAATTATAAGAATGTTACAATCATTAAAAAGGTGGAACCACCTTATGTCAGTTTTAACTAAGTATATTCAAATAACAACTTACATAATTTGGAAAGATAACCATATCCACTTTCGAAGGCACATCTAGTAGTAACTGTCGCAATGAATACTCACGAGCACCACCCGGGTGTAGCAACTCATCTGTGTCTAGATGAATTATCCACTCAACACCAGCATCCTGACAAAGTTTTAAAAATATCTTCAGATAAGAAGAGCTAGTTCTAAACCTTAAACCCTAAATAATTTACTTAGAATAATGCATGGTGAGTGCTTTCAAAAGAAATGTCTGTCTGATAAGAAACATGTAGGCCATGAAGTCTGTACCTTGGCCATCACAATAGCCATCTCCATATTAAGAGATTGCTTCACAAAAAGCTCGTAGTTACATGGTTTGTAAAAGAAGCTTGACAGCCATGTTTCATTCCAAATCCGGCTACAAGATATGAACAAAGTCGGTAAGAGCATAAATTGATGTAAGAATATTTACTGGACATCCATCGAGTATCACAGATATGAGAATCAGNTACCCCCCCCCCCCCACACACACACACTGACAACACACACGCATGTGCGCGCATGCACACACGTGTATCTTGTTTCATTAAGGGACAACTTTGATATTTTACTGAGATAGAAGTTTTGGATAGCATCACTTCTCACAGTACACTTAATTGTATTTGTTGGTTTGACTAAAGTTAACATGCTTGACTAGTTAACTTCGTTGGAACATTTTTTAGGGGACAAAATACATTGGATATAATGAAAGTTACGGTATATTTTCCATTATAACTCATTTTTGAGACTAAATCAACTTCTCAAATAAGACTTTTTTTTGGAAATGGGGAGATACACTCTAATTTTAGCTTGACTAGCTTGTAAATTTGTAATATTGGACAATTAAATGCTCCAGAAAAATTTATAGAATTGCAGATGTTCCCGTGTACTTCCATCTGTTTCATTTTATACAATTGAACATGTTCCAGGGTACTTCCATCTGTCACGTTTTATCATTGTGCATTAAAGGCACTAACTTTTCTAGCCAAATAATGAAAATATGGATCATAACATAGTGGATGGAAGTAAAGTACAAAGTGTCAATAGAAGCTTAATTAAGTTTACAATAATAAAACAAACCTCTTGGCCTGTTGCTCTTCTAGCTCTTTGGTTCTGTATATTACTTTTACTCCCTGCAAACAGTGCATGATATCCGTTTCATTTTAACCATGATATGAAAGGAGGGAAATCCCAATTCGAAACAGCACTAGTGCAATACATGATTGAGAAGATAGTGAAGAGAGAAGTAGATTATACAAACTTACAGGAATGGACTCAAGAACTTTGGATACTTCAGGAGATGCTGCCTTCCCTTCCACGAAGAGGAAAAATGTTGTAACACCAATAACTTTATGATAGAACATCCATGGAAGAATTTGGTCCAAGCCACCTGATGTACTTGTTGTAATGCATATCTGCATAGTCAGAAGACCAAGGCCTTAGATGACGATGCATTTTGCTATTTGTATAAAAAAACGCAAAACCCAAATAGTAAGGTCATGAACTGTTCAAAGCCACAATACGACTGTCGCATATAAGACGCCATCGTGAAAACTAAACTGGCATTTTGAAAAGCTACTCTGTATTACAGTTTAGAGAAAAAAATTAGTATCAGATTGTCAGTAATAATAAAGTAGTGAATCATTTAACTATTTGAACAACACAGTTACACAGGCAAGTCCAGAATTCAACCATTTGGTGTTAATTATAAACCCTATGTTTATACTCATAGTACTTCAATGAAAAATACTGATTTAGTAACATATAGGTACAGTTCATCCGAGTTTCTTTCATGCTAAACCACTAATCTCAGCATTTCGGGGCATTGGACTACAGACGTCAAGCAGAAAAACACTTATGATGGCTGCCAAAAAACACATGATCAAAGTACATACGCCCCTTGTTCACGATTCTATGATTTTTAATCATCCATTCCCCTTGTTCACGATTCTATGATTCTAGAATTCAGTTTCGACGCAAAAGGCAAGCCTCATTGGGGATGTGTACAAATCTCGAATCTCGTACATCAATCAGAACAGAAATGAAGCAAACAGGAAACAAAATTCAAAAAACAAAAAGTAATGAAATCAGACCTTTGGTTTGAGATCTGATTCGGAATTGAGTTTCCAGTCCTTGTAGTAAGGGAAGGACGCCGAATGCCGATGGCCAAGGAGGGAACAATCAGATGAGTGAGAGGAGTGGCCCACGGTGGCGAGTGGAGAGCTGTCCATTCCCGGGAACTTGTGAGACTCTTCGGGGGACCACCGCGAGATTGGATCGTCGACTCCCCCGCCACGCCATTGGAGGACAAAGGCTAAGAGTGAGAGGGATAGAGGGAGGAGCGTGAGAAGGAGAAGTAACTTCGCGGCGAAGGAGTGGTTGGCAGGGGCTGAGGGCGGTGGTTGCGGCCGGAGAGAGGCGTACAGACCCGCCATTGGGACGGGAGGTGGTATGGTGCTTCCAAGTTTCGACTTTCGACTTTGGAGTATGAAGTTCAGAACTCTTACCTCCCTATTCGTCTACTTTTCAAATCTATCGGATAAAGATTAAAATAGGACTAAAATATTGAAAATTTATTAAAATAAGATTTTTATATTTTTATTTTTGAAATAAGACTTCAAATGCATTTACATTACCAAACATGATCATACACATTACCAAAAAGTATAATAATGTTGACATGTACAGTGTCACGTTACTACAGTATGAAGTCCTATTTCGGGAAAAAAACGTGAAAAACCTATTTTGGTACTTTTCTCTATGTTTTAGTCGTATTTAGTGTGATTTCTATTACGGAGTATATAATATGAGGATACATTATGTTTATTTGATTGTCAAGTAAATTATTACATGTATCTAAGGTCTATTGTATATGCTAAATAAATATTTTCATTTTTTTGAAATAAGTATTTTTCAAAAAATAATGTGAGAAGGTCCATATGGACCTTTTTTTAACAAATGCTCAAATTATTAAACAAAGTTCAGATATAAATACATCACATTTAACAGCCCCTTAGTCACTCATTTGTATGTCTACTCCCAGGGAATAGCTATAATCTATGACAAATAGTTGGACTTGAGCTAAGTTAAAAAGGTTTTAACCTAATATCTAATGAAAGCACAGCAACCTTCAATTGATATTTCCTCATTTAGCTTTGAACTTCTTGTCTCTTGCTCTTCATACCGCATAACATATAACTGCAAACACAACTATCACCACATGCCTTCTCTTCCTTCCTCTTATCTTCTTTATTTTGGAGAGTTCTTATCTTTATTATTATGGGGGATTAGAGAATCCCTGCCTCGATTATTAATTAGAATATAATAATATTCTTTATTTCACACTTTTCTATTCTGTGTTGTCCACGTGTGGGGATGGTCCAGTATGCCAGATCAGCTAAGGCTCATTTATTATCTGATAATTCATGAGCTTGCGCGCAATATGTATGTTTATTTATACCTCCTCGGGCTATGGGGAGAAGACTAATCTAATCCAATTGTTCTCATTCTTTTTAAGGTAATGTTCTCTTTACCTGATCTGAATGGTTCTGATCTGATTGGAAAAAGTTCTGATCTGGTCTGATTTAAATATTGTTATATTTAAAGCTATTTCTGATTCAAATATGATCTGATTTCAATAAGAAAAATAATAAGTAATAAAAATAAATTGAAGAGAACATGACCTAAATACTATTGATTCACTATCACTTTCTATAACTTATGCTTTACTCTCTTTCTAACTCGCGTCTTAGGGATCGGAGAGGGTTGGAATTATATATTATTGTACATGTATGCACATGCAGATCTGTGTGTGTACATACAAAATTATTCCTCGATCTTATTTTAAAGTGTCAAATTCGATTTACAATGTTTGACTAATTTTTTAATTCATTTAATATGAGAATTAAAAAATAAAATTTACACACTGCGTATATAAAACTACATTAAAAACCCTTCAAAACAAATGTTGAAATGACTACATCTTTTATCATGACTTTGTTTTTTCATGACTATAACATAGAGCTTCTATTCATGACTTCATTTTTTGAAGTATCTATCATAACTTTGCTTGAAAACATTTTATAGGAAACAAAACCATTATGCACTTTGCAAGGGGCTCATTTATTAGGTCTGATGCCAACATAGTTACATGAACAGCCCATACAAATACTTCCCTTGCTCCCAAGAGCCTCCATAATTTCATAAACAATTACAGAGTAATACACATGCAAAGACACTCTTGTCCAATACATAAAGTACAGACCATTGAAAGAATTAAGGAGTTAAGACTTATTGAGAGTGCAAAGGATTTTGTTTTGTTTTTGAACTCATATTAATAAATAATGTATTACTTATACAATGTTAGTGTATGTGCTAATTTTTAAGGAGTTAAGACTTAATGGGATGATGAGTTTATGGATTTACGTTAATGTTGATACTAAACGTTGTGCTTCATTTGCTGTTTTTGTGAAATTTTACTATTTGTTTTAAATCCTGATTGATTCTTTTTTTAAAAAAAAACACTTTTTTCACATGAATTAAATGATTTTTTTGTGCTCCTAAGGTGTTGATATGCTTGGTTCGACTTGAACATGAATCCATTTCTAATATTTCAAGCAAAACATCATAGCTACCCCAATTAGAGTATGGCAAGAAATCCAGTAGTGGTTTTTGTTGTAAGATTATCCCTTCCCCACCATTTTTAATATGAGTATTTTATTAATCTATAAAGGTTATATAAACATCATTAATTTAAAGCCAACAAATTTAAATAAATTTATTAAACAAAATAGACCATTTTTCCCTTTATTGCTTTTAAAAACGAAAAGTTTCTTTAGATTCTAATACATATGAATCATTATTAAAACTACAACTTTAATATAAAAAATGAATCATATATAATACTTAAAAATATTAATATAGCACAAACAGTATACTACAGTAATTATTAGGAAATTACAATAATAAAAGTATCTTTTAATTCAACATATAAATTTATTCAAATAATGTTAAGAATTTATATTATAACTTTAAAGTTGTTTTAAAATTTATATTAAAATTTATATTTTAACTTCAAAGTCATTTGATTTGAATGTTAAAAGTATCTTTGCCATTACACACTAAAAATAAAACTTAAAAATGTATACTTCTTCAGTCCCAAATTTATAAGGTTCTCAATTTGATTATTACGAAGTTAAAAAAAGTAAATTGTTTGAACTACTTCATACATGGTTATAATAAACTATGGCAAAGGTAAAAAAAATATACACACTCCATGTACAACATTCTAATAACAAAAATGCTATACAATGAACAAACGTTTTATAAATGTTAAAAAACCTCAAATCAAACAATCATAAAACCCAATCTGCCTCAATCCAACAACAAAAAACCCCCTCAAATAGATATCAAGGTAGGAAAAACACACAAGATTATAAGCACGTACATGTAAACCGAGCCCGTGCAAAGCACGGGATAATTTACTAATATTCTTTATTTCACACTTTTCTATTCTGTGTTGTCCACGTGTGGGGATGGTCCAGTATGTCAGCTCAGCTCAGGCTCATTTATTATCTGATATTTCATGAGCTTGCGCCCAATATGTATGCTTATTTATACCTCCTCGGGCTATAGGGAGAAGACTAATCTAATCCAATTGTGTCTCTAATTTCTAACGCTGATGTCAAACGGGACCTACATCTTTTATCATGACTTTGTTTTTTCATGACTATAACATAGCGCTTCTATTCATGACTTCATTTTTTGAAGTATCTATCATAACTTTGCTTGAAAACATTTTATAGGAAACAAAACCATTATGCACTTTGCAAGGGGCTCATTTATTAGGTCTGATGCCAACATAGTTACATGAACAGCCCATACAAATAC